CTGGACAGCGCTGAGGGACTGGCCTGACTGGACAGCGCTGAGGGACTGGACCAACTGGCCTGGCTGGACAGCGCTGAGGGACTGGCCTGGTCTGGCTGGACCAACTGGACAGCGCTGAGGGACTGGCCTGGTCTGGCTGGACCGACTGGCCAGCGCGGAGGGACTGGCCGGGCTGGACAGCGCTGAGGGACTGGCCTGACTGGCCTGGCTGGACCGACTGGCCAGCGCTGAGGGACACACCTGGCTGCGCAGGTAGCGGCGCGTCTCTCTGTGCGCCCGGGAGCTCTCGGTCAGCAGGTTCAGCACGGGGGTCAGCTTCTCCCTCAGCTTCTCGCCCTGCCAGGAGCAAGAGCGACCCTCGTCTTCGTCAGCACACACAGACACCCCCCCCCCGCACAGCCACGCACCCCCCGAGTCACACAGTTCACCAGCGCCCCACTTGGAGCCGGCAAGGACCCCCACTTTCTACGGCCCCCCGAGATCAGCCCCACTTCCGCCCCCCCGTCGATCTGGGTTCCGCTGCTCCACACAGCCCTGAACCAGGCACCAGTGGTTCTGTTCTGACCCGGTCCAGCCGCCTCTCCATGAAGCCCAGCAGCGCCTCCACGCAGTCCATGTTGATGCCCATGTACTCGGCCGAGCCCGGGCCCACCCTGACCGCCAGCAGCACGTCCAGGCAGGACAGGGGCAGCAGAGACAGCACGTTCACCGTGTGGCTGGGGGACAGGAGCAGGGGGCAGAATCAGTACAGCAGCTCGGCGGCCCCCCGCCCCCCCAGCCGCCCGCGCAGGCCCCACGCACACACGTCTCCCAGTTACCCTTGCAGCTCCTCCCTCTGCTCCTCCCCCTCGCAGTTCACCAGCAGGCAGTGGCGCAGCATGGCCGCCAGGTGGCGGTAGAGAGCAGCCTCCTCCTGCGGAGACAGAGACAACATTAAGAGAGAGAAGGGATGGGAGATCCCTTTATTGGCCATATACTGTACAGTGTCTTGCATGAGGAATGTGTCTTCTCTCAGACCCCAGCTCGCTCTCCAGGAGACACACACACAGGGAGAGAAGCTGGGGGTCAGAGCGCAGGGTCAGACATTTATACAGCGCCCCTGGAGCAGCAGGGGTTCAGGGCCTTGCTCAGGGGCCCAACGCAGTAGGATTCCTCTGCCGGCCGTGGGATTCGAACCGGCAGCCTCCCAGTCACAGGCGCAGGTCCTGAGCCACAGAGCCACTGCTCCGTCCCGCCCCATCACTCACGAGGCTCCAGTAGGGTCTGATGCCACCCTGAACTACGCAGTCATTTCTGTTCCCAGTACCCCCGAGACACACGGATCAACAATTCGACTGCTCTCGCCCCTCAGTGACGGGGCCTCGGTGTGCTGCCTGTTCTGGCGG